TTTAACGTTCGCAACGTTATTTAAACGTTCAACTCCGGTTCGTTGATTTATTTATTTTGATTACTTTCGTATAAAATACATTTCAAAATATAATCGTCAATTTGTTTCTTTTTTAATTTCATTTTCAATATCAATGTATTTTTTTTTTTTTTGTAAATTTATTTTCAAATGTTAAGAACGATTTGAAGTTATGTTTTAAACATTTAGCATTCGTTTGTTATCGTTGATTTTCGTGGAAAACAATAGAGTAGTGGAAACAATCGAAGAAACAGTTGACAGTCAAGTGAGTGAGGTTAAAATTCTTTGGGTTACGCAGATTTCAACGAAATCAACTAACCAATGGTAGAGCTCGATCCGGCGCGCGTTAATGAATTCATAGATTACGCAAGGGAAAGATACGTACGGAGGACAAAGCGAGAGAAACCTCTCTATTGACCTAGATCGTGGCCCCGTCTTCGTCGTCTTCGTATCTTCGTTTGTCGTTCTCCTTGTTCTCGTCTCTTAGTCTTAGTTTTAGTCTTAGCATTAGTTCTAGAGTCAGCCACGTTGCGTGCAACTCGATGATTGTAGACAAAAAAAATATGTACAACTTTCTTCCCACCATTACTAACATAAATTATTACAGATACCATTACAATTTATTACTACAATAACCATTACTAAGATATATACCCATTAGACAGTACTAGAAATTACTATATCATTATTAATATTTCATAATCTTACTTTAATAGTAATTGAAATTATTAGATTATAATAGTATTCCCAAAATGTCAACCATGACCTAACATATATTGCAATTAATAAAATCTGAACATAAATCAGGAAACCCAATACCCCAATAATACCGAGAAACCCTAGACCCAATGAAAAAATACTATTCCTAAAATTTTGATCATACCCAAAAAAAAAAACAACCAATATTACTACGAACTATACAACCAAACCAGAGTCCTACTACTACAACCAGTACCATTTACTATACACCTTCAATTTTATCTCTCTTTCTAGCGTGCAAATATCTACTTCCTTCTCTCTCTCTCTCTCTCTCTCTCTTTCGTTTCTTCTTGACTCGAAGAGACACGACATAGCGACGGCAACCGGTAGAGCCAGTTACCGGAGGAGGATATTTGCGGTTGTGATTCAGCGCTGCTCCCAGAGAAGAAAGAGGAGAGAAAGAGAAGCAAGGAAGAAGAAGAAGAAGAAGGGAGAGGTAAGAGGAGAGGGAAAGAGAGGGAGAGGAGGAGGAGGAGGAGGAGGAGGAGGAGGAGAGAAGGGCAATAAATCGAGAAAGAGAAGCCGACCGCAATGACCGAGCAGATATATACCGGCGAAGCCATTTGCAAGGCTCGAGACTAACCCCGGAGTCTCGTCTTTCTCTTTCTTTCTTTTTTTTTCTTGCTCTTTCTTTCTTTCTTTCTTTCCTTCCTTCTTTCAGTTTTTCCTATCTCTTTCTCACAATTCTTGCAAATAATTCCGCGGGGCCGTTGGGAAAATTGCAAGAAAGCACCGTTCGAACAAATGGCGGTGAGTAGACACGTTGCGCCGCCTGTCGACCATTTCGCAAATCTTCGGGGATTTTTTTAATTAGAGAATTTAGAGTTCTTGTTTATCTTTTTATTTGAAGAAATTGTTTTGATTCAATTTTATACTTTAAATTTAAATGTTTGTTTTATATAAATTTTATTTATAAATAAAAATATAAAAGAAGGTTTATTTTTTATTTAATTTAATTTATATTTTATTTTATTTAGACGGAAGAAGATCGTTGTGTAGTCTATGACAAAGATTGAATCTCGAGGCTTACGTCCGTCGGCAAATGGCGGCAACGACGTCGACGTACATAAATAAACGCTCTTTATGAGGGGCGCTTTGCGAATATAAACTCTCTCTCTCTCTCTCTCTTTTTCTTTCTTTCTTTCTTTCTTTCTCTCAATCTTGAAGCTCAGTTACCGACTGTTCTACAGTGTTGAAAAGTATCTTTGACGAGCCAATAAAACGAACAACACTGTTGGCTTATTTCTCTCGTTTTATATTTTCCTTTTTTCTTTTTTTTTTGTTACATTTGAAATTTGCGTGGTCTTATCGCATCAAAATACGATAAAATGAGGTCCAATAATTTTATAGATAATATTGATAAGAATATATTTTTATCGATATATTTGCAATACTTTAAAGAATCTAATTTCATTGAAAATGTAGAAACATTTGCCACATTTATTTGTAATCACGTAACCACTGATAAATAATAAACAAAATAATTTAAAAAAAAAAAACACTATTAACCCCTAAAAAATCTATACAATTAATAATAATCTTTAAAATTTACGTAAATGTAATTTAAAAAATAACTTTAATGGTTATTGACGAATACATTGATTGAAATATTGGATAATCTGTCATTAAAAAGATATATTTGAAAGAGTTTATAACTGTAGAGCTCATTGATCGATCTAAAATACTCAAAGAGATGGTATCAGCACACACACAAACTGATCTGCAAGAACGATTAACTCGATAAACGACCTTGAACGACCTCGTCGAACAGAGAAGTGTATAAAGAGAATCAGTCAATCTCCTTTCAAACTTGTCCCTGCGAAATTATACGTTCATCTTTTTTGATATATATCACGTACCATTTTTTTTTTCTTTTATTTCCACCCTCTTTCGTTGCTCAACATCCCGATTTTATTCGCTGGAACGTTACATTGTTCCCGTGAGCCACACCGGTAAGGCAACGAAAAGAAAAAGAGAGGGGGAGAGAGAGCAGGTAGAAACCCTGTTGGATAACAAAAGGGACCAGCACAGCCTTTGTGTTTCCATAGAATGTGGCGGACTTTGGTTATTTCTCTCTCTGTCTACCTGAACCCAACTTAACAAAAGGGAGGAGGAGCAAAAGAGAGTGAGTGAGAGAGATAGAACGATTCTTGGAGTTCGAAAAGTTTTTTCAAGACCCTCCTATCAGACCCAGAGAACTCGAGCATCAGTACAGGCAGGAATACACCCCACCCCATAAACTAGACTCCACCCCATAAACCAGACCCTATTCCATACTTAGATTCTATATCCTATGATCCCCACTCAGCTAGCCAATACCAATAGCCTATAACTATAGTTGTAGTTCCTTCCTTAGACCCAATAGTAGACACCCCAATAATGGAAGAGGAAGAGGGGAAAGGGTTTGTTGCTTTCCGAAGAGCCAAGGCGCCCGATTAACCGCATTGTTACATTTCCCAAGGGTCTAACCATTATATAGATATAGATCCTTATAGGTTATGCTAGTATTTTATCTTCTTTTTTCTGTTACTTCCTTCCGCTTTTGAGCAGAAAAGAAAAGGATAGAAAATTGTTTTGCTGAAAGATGTGGGAAGGTTTCTAAGTTTTTAAAGGAACACCAAGAAGACATTTAAAAATGGTTTTTTTTTTTTGAGGATTTATCGTTCAGTATTACATTTCTAATTAGTTGAACTATGTTTTTTGTTGATATATCACGTGATACATAATTCTTACGATTTGCTAATTTCTTCGAAAGCTTTCACAATTGATATGTTTTTACATAATCTTGGCTAACCGAGAAACTGGATGGATTGGAGGTTTAATTTTTTTTTTTCTGGTTTCAAATGAGATATTTGAGAATAATTTAGTTGTTGGACCAGTTTAACATTTCGTTCGTCTACTCTGACGAAAAATATTACCTAGTTCGTATCGATTAGCTAGAAAACTTGTTTCTTACAAGTGCACAAACGTCAGAATTATTTGCTTTCTCTTTATTGGGTTAACTTTTTTTTCTTTTCTTATGATTAAAAAAAGAAACCTACTCAACAAGAACGAGATGATATTGAACGGGGATAAAGTAGTAGTCAAGTCAGCATATTGGAGATCGTTAAATTTGGTTCCGTTTTTCGAAAGGGGCAGCAGTATTTCATGATACGTCAAAGAAAGACAGCAATAACAGCAGCAGCAGTAGTAGATCTAACCAAGTATTGGGACTTATCTACGATCAAAATTATCATAAATACGGTGCGGTTAGTTGAAATGGAGGTCGATTTCCGAATACGATTATCATATTTATGGTAATACTTGTCGTAACTTCTAACTTATTACCAAGGGTAACGCGACGATCTTTCCGAACTTCTCATTTTTTCAAATCTTATCTGACTTTACAGAAGATTCAATTCTTTTATTTTCTTTTTTTATTCTTAAATGAAATCGTCAAATTCCATAGTAGAATTGTGTCGTACACAATTGAACAATTTCATTGAAACTGACGACAAGGACAGGTGAGGATTAATCTCGAACGAATTTCAGACGATTAAAGTATTCATGAAAGAATGAGAAATAAAAAGATTGAGAGAGAGAGAGAGAGAGACCAGACCAGTTGCGCAACCTTTACCCAAGAAGAAAACCAGTTTTGCGAAGATCCAGTCTCGGCTGTGTGCTACGACTCATTCTGACCACGTAAAGGTGTCCACTTACGTTGGAACGACGAGATCGCTAACGTATCGCTTAGAGTTATGAATATCCGCAGGAAAGAAAGAACAAAAAAATTCAATACGCGTATCTGTACGTTGAGTGTTAACGAGCTTTGAAAAAGAATGTCTTTTGGATGACAGGTGCGCTAAAAAATAAAACAAAAGAACACTTCAAATATATTTAAGCCTATTCCGAGAGAATGGTCGACCTTGATAGCAAAGTTTTTTCTTTTTTTTAGAAGAATTCATTTAAATACTTTGAAAACCTGTCGATCTGATCATTTTTGTTTTGTTTTGTAGAAAACTAAAAATTGGAGCAAGTAATAATAACGACCTTGAGTCAAGGTTAAGAAAAAATGCTGAACGGGAGTTGTCCAAGCTCGATGTTTTAAAGTGTAGACGTAGAATATACATACGCACACTTATGCACGACACAGAAGGAGGTTATTTAGTGATAATCTTAACGAAGTGAATTTTCTCACCGTATGGGAAAGATAAGTTTTGGTTTTAGGGATAAAAAGAACTTACAAGGCCAAGGCAGCGGTAGTTACGTTTCCAACGTCGTTAGGTAGAAAACTGGTCTGTTGTTGGGCGGCACCTGGATGATGTTGCTGATGCTGTTGATGCTGTTGATGCTGTTGAGTTGGTGGAGGTGGTGAATGTTGCTGTTGAGCTTGTTGCTGCTGTTGGGTTTGCTGTTGTTGGGCTTGTTGTTGTTGGGCTTGCTGTTGTTGCTGTTGATGATGATGTTGCTGATATTGGTGATGATGTTGTTGAAAGGGTGGTTGATGCGACGGCGAACCAGTCGCCGGCATCAGATTATAAGGTTGATAAAGCAGCTGCGGCTGAGCCTGCGTGCCTGCGCCGGCGGCCGCGATCAAAACCTGCGTTTGCCCTTGGTGTACGTGATGACCGTGATGGTGGTGCGGGTTACCCTGCGTAGCCGTCTGCGGGCTTACCGGAAGGACCGCCATTGCCGCACCTCCTAACACCGGTGGCATGCTGCTTTAACGTATTCTATCTTTTCCGTTTTGTTCGTTTTAATCGTAGCTTTAGCTTTAGCTGCTATTGCTACTGCTGATGCAGTTGCTCCAAATCTTTGATCACTGTTCTTTCTCGTCACTTTAATAGTTAACCCGTTCCTCGTCTTCTTCGTAATCTTCACCGACACCTTCTTAACACTCTTCGTAATCATCGTACGAATCACAATACTCTACGCGTTACTGCGAAGGTTCATCCTCTCGAGACGGCTTCTAAACTGAACCGTCTCGAGTTGTTATCATATTAAACACTATTCTAATAATAATAATAATAATAATAATAATAATTATTAGATTCTTCCTTAATTTACATGCCTCAATATCGCGCACACATGGGTTCAACACAAAAGGTAGAGCCTGGGGTGGTTTGGGACACACAAAAGGAGGGACACCAATAAGAAGATCAGAATAAAAAAAGAAAACCCTCTTAAAGTTGACACCTCCAATTAAATAGGATAATTAACTAAGACAATTGGTGTATGGGGGTTAGTAATGTGTATCCCTTAAACACTGTTGAGTAAATCAATCCAAGAATGATGCGAACACCGTGCACACAGTAAAACCGAGCTCTTCTCACCGGGGCTGACCCATCCGCGCTTACTACTGCGTGCGGCGACACGTCGAGAAATCTGCACGGCATGCAGCAGGAGAGAAGAGAGCTATACGCGATGACGATAAGACACGAAGATTGCCGAGTTGGTACGAAGCGGTTCCTGCTAGTGTCGATCGACCGACGAACAATGGTCGATCTCCCCTGGCTTCTTTCTCTCTCTCTCTCTCTCTCTCTCCCTCCCTCTTACATACATACACACAAATAATACACATACACGGTGTACTCTCTTTTTCCCTTGTCACCCTCAGTGTCTCACCAACTTGACTTCTCTCTCTCTCTTCTTGTTTTTTCCTTTCGCGCCACGAACCATGCACTACTTCCTTCTTTACTTTTCTTCCTCGATCAACCTTTTTTGTAATTCCACACGTACACGTAAAAAAAGCAACCCCTTGTCTTGCTGGCGACACCCCTAGGTGTCAGACAATAACAACGAATAATAAAGATAATTGTATCTTCAAGATACTATGACAAAGTTGAGTAATTAATAGAGTATCTATGCAATTTTGCACAAAACACTAATTATAGTGTATTAACTTAAAAAAAAAATAAGGAACTGGTTCACTGATACACTGTAAATCCAGAGATGTCCAAGATTAAAAGGTCGGTTGGGTAGATTAAAGAACCCCCGAAAGAATCCTGACTAGTCTTCCAATTTACACATTGACCAACCCCAGTAGGAAACCACCCAGTTTATTTGTCTTTGTTGGATAGAGAATATCCAGAATTTTGGTTGGTATGAAATAGTATACAAAGAGAAAGGCCCGGCATTATGGTCGAGATGATGAGACGAACGGGTAAAAAACTGAGATAGATAGAAGAGAAAAGTAGCCTGCGCAGTGCGTTAAGTTCTCGGCGCAGCACCGTATTTAGGGGAGAGTAGGACGACTTTAAATATATATATATATTTGATATATATAAAGTAAGTGTATAGTTGTGTGTGTCCTGTGTGTGTTTGGAGTGCGTGCGCGGGCGCACACTTTCTCGAAGAGAACCAAGATCAGATCGCGTCGAAGGCCGCTACTCTACTGCGGTAGTCAGGAGAATTGCCCCCCACCCTTCGTTACTCGAGCCAGACTACCCCCACTATTGACAATCTACCCACCGCCGACACCCAAACGACCCGTTCTTCTCTCCCACCCGCTTCACGATCCGCTTCGACTCCGCCGTCGCTGACGCCAGCTTTTCACTATCCCTGTCTCACTTGCTCACTCTCATTCGTTTGCTCCGACTCCGACCCCGAACAGCGATGCAGCTCTCCCCCCCACTACCATTCCAACCACACAACCATCACCACCCGTGACCGAGGCGAACGAGCGAACCAACGAACGAACGAACGGTCGAGGCACGATTACTCCCGGCCCTGTATTCTGCACTCTCCTCTGCGTTCTGCCTGCTGGTTGGCACAAAAAAATTCCCTGTGCATTCACGCACACGTGCTCGCGCGTGTGCCCGCTTGCTTGCTTGGCTGTTCCCTGTACTGTGCCTTGCCTTGCATTACCTACTCACAGGCTTGCTAGCCTGTTTGTACCTAAGCCTACATATACATCGTTGCTTGAAGTGCTCCGGTTTTTTTATCTTTTCAACATTTGTCCTTTTTCTCGTTTCTATTGAAACCCCCGCCCTTATCTCTCCTATTGGTAACCAAAGATCATTGGGTACCATTCACTCATTGGTATCAACTCCTACGGATTTCTACCTTTGGCCTTGATCCCTTTTACTCAAGCTAGAACGGGAAAACCTGACTGTTTGTAACTCCCGATCAACTGGTACATCTTTTCCATGAAATCAGATTTACATGTTATTACTGTAATACTAATGTACATTGTGATCTGTATCTCTTTCTAGAATTCTCTTTGAGTTGAATTTCTTAGGAGTAGGTTGTGTAACACTGGGGAAATGATTGTTTTCCACGGGCAATGCTTTAACTAGGTATCAAGTGATTTTAATCGCAAATATAGTCGTAGATATAAACGTGGGAGTTGCACGCACGTATAATAATCCTAGTCGTTCTTGTGATAACATCGAAAAGTTTCAACACACACGTTTCGATGTTTTGATGGTACGTAGAACTTGACAATTTCGCAAGAACATGGATTTATTCATCATACTAGAATCGTTTATATTTTTTTTTCCTAACGGGAAACTACTGTGAGCTATGTCTCTGACTGAATACACGCTTGGAAGTTTTCATACCACTCTCTCTCTTTCTCTCTCTCTCTCTCTCTTTGACCTCGTACAACTTCGTACTTCGAGACAAGCCAACTTTGATGCCGAGTGTCTTTACCTTTACCGATCGATTCAAGAGCAACCTGTTTTCTTCCTATCATTCTTAGGATTATTTTATTCGATTAGATTTATTTCTATTTACTTTTACAGGAATCAAATGATTATGATTATTTTCTTAAGTAATTAACTTGATAAGTTTAATTTTTATGAAAACAAACTTTTGGGATCTTAGATTGTGTTTATCTTACATCAAAAAAAAAAAAGCAAATCAATATGCTGTAATTTATTCTTTTAAATATTCAGGATTTTCTTTTGAATATTTTTTATAGTATTCATTCAAGTTGTCTTCACAAAAGAGAAAAGTCTATTTGGGGCTTAGAAATATCGGTCAGCAACAGTAGCTGCTAAAGGATTAGGAATAATCTTTGTTGCTTTTAGCAGGTAGGTGGTGGTATTCCAAACCTGTTGACAGGGTCGATAATGACTTTTGAAAACAAAATAAAATTTACGACCCTAAACAGAAACTTTTTTCAAAGTTTACTTAATGCGATTTAAAGTTCAAGCTAACGTTGCAATAATTAATTATATTCATTTACTAACACGCGTTAAATCTCGAACAATTAATTTATTCAAAAGCAAGGCTATTTTTATACATATTCATTTACAAAAGTTCATTCTATTTCCTTTTCTACTATTGCAACGAAAATACAACGTACTTATAAATATTCAAATGTTTTGTTTTCTAAACTCTCATTGTTTGATAATAGTACAATTAATTATTGCAAATAGAACGTAGACTTTAGATTTGTCTAGATAAAAAAAAAAAAGAAACCAATGCCATTAGTTTAATAAATGGATAATATTTCAAAGATATAAAACAAATGTTCTAAATTCCAATCATCATTGAAGTTCAAATTAAAAATAGTATATTCAAGGTTATAATATAAAAAAAAAGGAAGAATGATAGAAAAAAAAGTCGATAAAATTTCGCATTGTAATGATGTATAAGCTGTCGCGTGATAAACTCGAACGTTTTAACGCGATTCGTAAGCGATTAGTCACTTGAGTATAAAACAGCGCGACGTGGCCATGCCGGGGGTATCATGGCGGTTATATGGCGTTGGTGTCGCTAGCGGCAATTTCGCGAACGACCAAGAAGACGACGGTTATAATGGTGACGGGGACGCGCGAAAACATGCGACACACGTGCGCTACAAGCAGCAGCAAATTTCTACGCAATCGTTTTACCGACAACTAAGCGAATAATAATTTCATTTTGCTAAGCATTCGTGTTTGCTTTTTGCATGTATATATATATATTATACATAACATACACAAATATCCTCGATCTATCTTTCATTCGCTTATCGTGTTCGATTACACGAACGACGACACGACGACGACTACTACGATGACGACTGACGTAACATTCGAATGGAAAATGCTATACGCGATAACATTTCTCTCCTTCCTCTCTTGAAAGATACATAGAAAAAAAAAAAAAAAAAAAAAAAAAAAAAAACTATATAAATTGTTCGTATTTACATACCAAAAATATATGTATTCACACATTCATATTTTTTGATAGCAAAAAAAAAAAAAAAGAAAAATATAAAGATAAAGATAAATAAGTATATGTTTTTCTTTGTATCACCCGTTTAAGGCTTACGGCCAATAAACTTTGAGCTACTAGTTCACGTGACGTAAGCAAGTATAAGCAATATTTTTAGCGAAAAATACAACAGGACGGCCATCTTTGATAACTTCAAGAATATCAATAAAAAAACTCTAAGAATAAAACTTTCAAAGCGACCTCATCCTAACGGTAACCGATTAAATGTAACAAGATGCGTTTTACTTTAGGTGTGTTGATTAAACAATGAAGACTAGTGAAACAAATATGACACACAGTGTTGCAGGTGACATTATACGAGTCATTTGAATTGGATCTTGCGCAACAACGGAAATTGAAAAGAAAATGATCTAATTTTGATTTTCTTTCTGTATTAACACAAGGGTTTGGGTTGTCCGTAACGATTTGGTCAAAAATGTGAAAGACAGACAACAGATAGACGAAGAGAAAAGTCCACTTGGTTTATGTAACATGGCCGAAGAGGGACATTAATGCTCGTTTCGAGTGCCTGCTGTCTCCCGCATTCCCGGCAGCTGTTTGCATTCTGCTTACATGCGTTACGACCAAGCAAACACATGGAAAGACGTGTGCTCAAGCTCAACGTACATATATGTGTGAGTACATGTATGTGTTGAGGTATATACTAAGCAGAACAGGATATCGTATATAAGTTGCGTCGTCCCACGGTGCGTGAACGAGTATGACATACACACACACACACACACACTTTTGAGCGAATTGTGCATGTGTGCATGTATAATACTTGCATACACCAACTTCATCCTCCTTCGTATTCAAGGACAGAGATCTGTACACGAGTGGGGTTCTCTTGTAAGAGCTGTGCTTGCCTTATCTGGATCGTTTCTCCAAATAGCGGTATATACTTCAGGTCTCGAAACTTGATACACTTTGTGATCAAGCCGCCAATGATTTGTCTTCCCATATTCATCAATTTATTTATTTATGCAGTTATCTCATATATTTTTCATTTGTTCAAGGTAAATTTGAATTTGGGATAACCCCCTTTCATGCATATGGTGGCTCCACGTTGGTGCCATTCGGAAATTAATATCAAATTGTTGTCCTTGAGAATCCTAGTACAAAACTGACAATGAGTTCATAAAATTTAATATCGATTAGGGTATTTTAAATAGTACTTTTATATTTTGCATGTAGAATATAGTTGCATGGCAATTCATATATTATCCTATCACGAAAACAAACCGGTTATATTTTCTTCTCATTTCGGTTTAGTTGTTGAATCTCTTACGTGAGTCAATCGAAAGATTGTAGAGTTAGATTTAACGACGACAACACATAACAAATACCACTACGATGAGGAGACAAAGATAACGTTCGAAAGGGTTAGGGTGGGGGTAGGGATATGTAGTTAAGATATGAAAGATTAATATTTACACAAGTATATTACGCGTTTGTCGTTACGTCCATAGTATTTTTTTTTGTTTTTGTTATATTTTCCTTCCTTGTATGCATTCACGTGTATATTCAACTGTATATATTTGTGTGAGTATAGTATTCAAGTTGACGCGACATGACCTCACACTATTTGCAACCGGTTATAATAATCGTACGAACGAATCTCTTTCTGTACGCGTGGAATTTGGCACGTGGATTGAAACGATCGTTTGGTGAGAAGGACTTCGATAGGGGAGAGTGGGGAATGGGTGATAGAGGGAACCGAGTAAATTGGAATCACGTCGATCCCAGTCGCGGTGAGCGAACCAACGGCCTTGATCGGGGCTAAAGTACACACACAGTCACATATACACATGCATATACCCTACATAGACCCCAATATCTTTGTCTCTTTCGTTCTAACGCATCATACGTTCTCATCCAACCATGTACAACATAGAGTTGTATATATATATATATATGACCTGGGGGGGGGGGTATATATGTAGAGCATGTGATGAGTTTCCACCCTCCCTTGAAAATAGGAGGTGGAAGCTTCTGTGTCCGTACAAAGTTACTATCGATTCCTATCCGGTGTCATGCTCTCCCTTTTCTACACTCCCCTATCCCTTCCCTATTTCATTCTCTCTCTTTTCGTATTCAAGCCAGACCTCTCTCGTATCCTGGTAAACGCATTCCACCCCCTTTGGTGAAAGGGCGGAAGTGGAGGGGTAGTAAACGCATACCAGGACT